TGTGCAGGGTCGGGCGCAACAGCGCGGTTGTGTAGGGTTACTCGTACGGCTGCGGCGTGCAAGGCCGAACGTGCGAGTGCTGCTACGAAGGCCGACTGCTGCGACTGAGGCGGGCTTGCAAGTGCGGCTGCGTGGGCCCGCTCGCGCGAAGGCGGAGTGCAGGGGCGGGCGTGCTAGAACGGCTACGTGGGCCTACTGGTACGGCGGCGGCGTGCAAGGTCGGGCGTGCGAATGCGGCTGCGCACGGCTACTCGTACGACTGCGGCGTGCACGGCCAAGCGTGCGAGTGAGGCTACGTACGTCTACTAGCACGACCGCGGGGCGTACTAGTAGGATTAGTTCGACGCCAGGGAAAGCAAACCCAGTCTTCTCAAGTTTGACGGAGTCCGCAAAACCGATTTTCTTACATCGAAGCTCTCTGTCGTGCGTTCAAGATGAAATCCAATGCAAATCCTCCAAAGAAGAAGTCCAATTCAAATCCGCTACAACAGGAATCCAGTTTAAATCCGCCGCGCAAGGAATCCCTTTCAAAATCGTCCACATAAGGAATGCTTCTGAACAAATTGTCCACACAAGGAATACTTTCATCATCAGCCACACAACGAATCCTATTGAGCCGCGTATGACAAAGAATCCAGTAGAAAGCCTGTACAAAAAGAGTCCACTTGACATTCCCCACAAAAGGAATCCATTTGAACCGCGAACGGAATGTAATTGAAATCCTCAAAACAAGGAATCCATTCGAAATCCTCCTCGCGAGGGTTCCAATTGAACTCCTTTCTCGAAAGGATTCCAGTTGACAACCGTCACAGAAGGCTTCGTCGGGAAAACAAGGGAACGAAGGACACGCAATGACAAATAAGGAGGACACGTCGGAAAACAACGGCACATTACATTCTCATCAGTTGTTCGTTGTGTTTTCATGGTTTTCCGTTCGTTTTCATTGCTTTCCCTGTTTTCCTTGGGAGGCTTTGGGAATTCTCCAGGGCCTCGAGGCCGCCCAAACCACTGCCAAAGAAACCACGAACACGTGGGAAACAGAAGGACAAGCAAGGACAACGCAGCGGACAATAATCCAAACATATGTTCCCATTGTTGTTCTATGTGGACAAGCAAGGACACGCAAGGACAACACAGCGAAAGGATGAGGGAACCACAGCGGAAACCAATGACAAAGTACATGCTCCTTGTTTGTTGTTGTTGTATGTGTGTTGCTTTGTCATTGGCTTTCATGTTTTTTGGGGAATCCCCGGAGGTCCCGAGGACTGTCAGGGAGCCCCCGAGGGGAAACAAAGAAGACTTACAAAGACAATAACCATGACAAACACAGCGACCGCTTGGGCTCGTGAAAAGGGGTTCTTCGTCGCGACGCCCGCCGAGCAAGGAAGACGTCAGCACACACACACACACATATATATATATATATATGTATAGACACAATTGGCACGTGTGTGCCCAGGCTCATACAAAAAACACTGAAAGGTCGTTTGGAGCACGAAGACATCACGACGGCGGGATCGGATATGGAGAAGGGAAAGTTGGCGCGGCGCCGCCAGGGCGTGCCTAAGATCTAAGATCGAGGACATGCCACTCCAAAGGATTGGGGATCGAGCAGGAGGATCGACGAGGGCAATGCCCCTCCGAGGTCAGCGTTGCGAGGATGTCTCAGGCGAAAATGGCCTGACCACCTCAGCTCAGGGCATCTCGGAACCCAGAGTTGCGAGGACGTCTCAGGCGAAAGTGGCGGAATGTATAGCACCAGTGATGCAAGATGGGCTGGCGGAATGAGCGAAGCGATTAACAAGAGAAGTATAAACACGATTCCCACCAGCCGATTTGTTTCACTAGATGTGGAGGGAAACAGAAGGACGAGAAGAGGAGGAGGAGGAGGATAGCTGCTGGGAGTGAAGTGCAATCGCGGGGTCGCACTCGAGCGCAAGCGGGGTTGCCACACCTTGCGATGTGTGTGTGTGTGTGTGTGTACCACGGGCCCCCAGGAAGCCTTAGGAGGCCCGACCAGGATGCATAGAAAATATTCTAGGAGGCCCCAGGAGGGGTCGTCTGTGATCGAGGTTTTGAGGGTGCCCATGGAGGCCTCATGAGGCC